CGGTGGACCCGGAGCACACGCCTGATAACGGTTTAACATTTGAAAAAAAAGTAGAACAACTACACAAAGATAGAGACCCTATTATGGTTGCAAAAAGAACACAATCTTGTAACAAATCAGCCGCAAATTTTTTAAAAAAATTACAATTAATCTACGCAAAATAAGCACTGAGATAAAAAAAAAGTTATTACATAATCATCAACATACCTTAGCGTCGACACCACCTGATTCAACCGCTTTGCGGATCACTTCTACGTCTTCGGCGTCGAACCCTCGCATTAGTCGAAGAAACCTAAACAAAAACTTTTCGAGTTAATTTGAATTTGTTCTTTTTTTCGCTTTTTTAATCTCACTGCATATCAGAGTTCCTTCACACTTACGGCTCACAAAATTTACTTTTCTCCAAATCAGTTAAGGTTCATTTTGCATATTATGAGATATCGAACAACAGCCCTGCTTCCTTCTCTTCCCGTCATTCTGTCGACTACTCGGCTCATTCAAGCAGCCCATACTCCTAGGATTTATGGAGGGAATAAGCGAGGGAGGATGGGAATCTGCAGCTAAGAGAGCTGTAAGAATGTCGAGTATGTGGTGGAGAGTTGAAAGAGTGTAGAGAAGAGTCTCAATCTTGAACTTTCAAAAAAGATTCCGCATGCTACACCAGAGCCCAACTATCGTTGAAAAAATATTTTGTAGAAAAATAGTCATTACAAGTGCCATAAACTGAGAGAAATGGGACCCATCAACTAGAATCAATCAACTTGCACATGTACTATTGTATTTAAGAAATTTTAAAAAATTTTGTGAAGTATCAAAAGTAAAAAAAAGTAAGAATTTGGCAAGCATGATGATATACGGATATTGGTACTACGTTGGCGAAGCAATGAGCACTTCCACTTTTCCACAATTTGGAATTTTGAAGGTCCCTCACTCTTTTGGATGGCAGTGCCAAAAGTCATAGAAGGAAGCAAGCGCTGGGTGCTGCTGCATTTCATTCCTTG